CACATGACCAGGTCAGTTCGTGGGATTGCTTCAAAGAAATAACCTGGTGAAACTTCCTCACTTCTGCTAAAATGGGCCAGCTCCCCAGAACCCACCTGAACTCAGCCTCCCTTCCAAGGCCAGCTGTGGGAAGTGGGAAGACAGTGAAGCAGTTCCATCTGGGGTCTGTAGAACAGCAGTTAGCAGAGCTACTTCAGACAACATGCTTTGGGCTGCTAGACACAAGGTCAGCTGTTCAAAACCACCAGCTCCTTGGGGAAAAGATGAGGCTTTTTATTCCTATAAAGAGTTACAATATCAAAAACCCAGAGACAATCCTACCCTCTCCTATAGGATCACTGTGAGTGGGAACAGATTCGATGGTAATGAGCTTGTTTTGAATTTTGGACTTCAGACAACAAAACATATGAACACTGCTGAGCAAGACATGGCTTGGGGCTCTCAGAAATAGATGATTGAACCCCCATCCCACAGAGCTTCCTGCTATCTTAGAGAATTCCACACCAGGGCTGGTCCCATCCATCATCGCAAGAGTCTTGAATCAGAGTATTTCAATGTCCAAAGCAACTTAAGCAAATCCCACTGTTTACTTAGGAAATGCTAACTTAATGAGGAGTTACAGCCACACCAATTTAATGGGACATTGAAGAGCCAGATAGACACTTTTTTAAAGTGTAAAATCCCTGGAATAAAAGGTTGGCTTGTTTGTTTGGTTCGTTGGTTGGTTTTAATTCTTTAAAACACACAGGAGCATATCTCTTCCTTCTAGAACAACTTCCACCTGCCACTCCATCCCCCTTTGAATGCACAGCTCATCTGGAGTCCTGATGAAGGCCCACCTTTCATAGCTGCCAGGCCAGGCCGAAATGGGGGTGGGGAGCGCTCCAGCTTTCCAGAGACCCATGGTTCTAGCAGCTTCCCTTGGGTCTATAGGCACTATGCAAGTTAAGTAGAGGGTCAGGATCACCACTTTTTCTCTTCTTTTTTTTTTAACGCTGCGTTATCGTTGCCACCACTTGATTTTCCGCTCACTTTTTTTTTCTGTCGAGCAAGACAAGAGAGCTTTAAAAGCGAAAACCCTGAGAAACATTTGGGAACGTCTTGTTCCTCCAGCCTTGTACCCACAGCTACAATCCCCAGCTCCTCCTGGTTCTGCTCAGCCTGACCTCCACACCTCCGCCCCCACAAGAAAAAACAAAGGGTCCTCCCAAGGTCCCACCTAAGTTGCCATCACCCCCACAAACACACACACACACACACACACACACACACCTCCCCTGGCAGCTCGCCAGAGGCAAGCTTCGACCTCCACCCCCACGTCCCCTGCACTGCCTCTGCTGTGTCACCACCGAGCGCGCCCGCAGCCGCAGTCACCTGCAGCTGCCATGGGGGTGGCAAACATTATTTCCCCAGCACGTTTCCTTCTGCCGTTTCATCTCGCAGGTAGAAAAGGCACCTTCTATTTTAATCCAGGTGTAAACCGCCCCCTGCCCCTGCCCCCTTCCCTCAGTCACCCACCCTTTTCTAGGGACTGTGCAAAGAAACTGAGGGTGAAGGCAAGCCCCCAGGAGGCTGCAGGGCCGAGGGGGAGGGGGCTGCAGGTGGGGGAAGGGAGAAGGGCAGAGGTGAGGGAGCGGCTGGGAGCAGGGAGCCGCGCTAGGTGTGAGGCGCTGCGGCAGCACCTCGGGCCCCCTCCTCCTTCCGCCGGCTCGCTCCCACCAGCCCGCCCACCGGGTCCTAGCGCCGGCCCGCCGCACCACGGGCGGGGACGCGGAGCCCGGGTAGGAGGCGCCCGTTGCACGCACAGCGCCGCAGAGGGTTGCTAATATTGGGACCTGCCGCAGCGGCAGCAGCGGGAGACCGCAGCACTGCTGTCACCCCGGGGGCCCCCTTCTCACTGCAACCGGATGAAAGACTTAAATAACCCTCCTGCCTCACCCTCCTCCCCCGCCCCCACTGCGCACAGCCACCCACTCCGCTCCATCCAAACCCCGGTGAGTGGCTACGCCGAGCGCCCTGCGCGCCCTGCCCCCGCGGCCGGCGCCCCCAGATCCCAGCGCGGGCTCGGAAGACTTAAATAACCCTCCTTCTGCGCCCTCCTCCCCCGCCCCCACTATCATGA